TATATATATATATATATATATATTTATATATTCTAAAAACGCTTTCAAATATCTATCTGCTTATCATGCTTGGGCTCACATTTGTCCAGTAATACGTAACCCATAAATCAGCACCACATCTTACTTTATTCTGGGATTGTAACTTTCGTCTTTCTGTATACTTGTTGGAATTTTATTTTTCATCAAACTTGCATGGATAAAAAGTATAACGAGATAAAAATTTAACGCTGAATAGAAGAAAAACACAAAGTGGACATATATAGCAAGAAATGCATACATGTGCAAGAGATGTCCAATAATAGAAAACTTTTTTATGACTGTACAAAGTAAAAATGAATAATTGAGCAACTTGCAAACGCAAAAGTCTAATAATAATCAAAAATACCATTTAATGCAAAGCAGTGATCAGCTGTCGTCCTCAACTTTGAACTCTCATAATTTCTCAAGTCAACCTTTCAACTCCAAAAATAGTAAAGAACTCAATGACATAGCAGAACCATATCAAAATATATCGAGAGACACCACTGAATGGAACAAACACAAATAAAAAGAGATCAACTATTTCCAATAATGTCCGTTTACTTTGCTCCACTGCTTCTGAATAAATATATCCTGAATTTGCCTGACAACTAACTTATTTGCTCAGCGGTAATACGACAATCAAACAATTTTGAGTCAATCAAAATTAGAAAAAAGTGAGCTAGTACTACGCGACGCACTTCGGCCATGGCAAAACAAAATTTCTAAAAATTTTTTTTGCCTGGTTAAATCCAATTATTCGTTCATGCAAAATTCCCTAAAGCTCACTTAACGGCATAAAACCTCAAAAAAGAACTCCCACAGTGTTCCAATAAAAAATAATAAACCTAACACAAAAAATGAACTTACACTTATATACAAGTATGTACGACGTTATGACTTCAAGATAAAAGTCAAACGACTGTTAAGATTTTAAGATAAAGTGCAGTAGTGCTTTGATGATTAAAGTTCTCAAATCCCTGATTTTACGCATTAGTGAAATTCCATTTCAGCTATACGTTGAAAATATGCTTATATCTCAGTAATAATGGTCACGCGTCCTATTATTAAATATGTATCTTATTGGTGGCAATCGAACTGAAACATTTTTAGAGGATGACTTGAAATAAAAAATGGCTTACATTCAAGAAAAAATTCCTTACAACTTTCTATAATGTACTAAAAGTACTTTTCGAGCTTCAGATTCGCTTCTTTTAATTAGATTAAACCGCTCAGCAAAAAAAATGCAATTCTTATTTTAGATAAAATATTAAAGAAGAATATATACACAAAAACGGAAGTGCTAGTTACATTAAAAAGGGAAACATGATTAATTGAAACTCACAAAATAAACAAACATAAAATCATATATTAATATCTGTTACAAAATACCCGTAACCATGCAAAATGAAAATGCACAAAGAAAATGCATCAAAAACCAAATCGATCAGTCAAAAACAATACATAACATTTTAGAAAAAATCACCTTCTCGTTCAACTTGCACCTTCCCAGAGACTGGTGGACACTGTATATGAGGCTCTACTTGTCCAGTTTCCCGGAAATTCCGAATAGTTTCTAAAATTTTTCATATTACTCACAAATTTGTAGTTTGATTTCAACTTTTATAGTAGAACTTAAATATTTTGAATAGATGTAACAATGAGGAAATTTTTTTGCAGTTAAACCACATATTAAAGCCGAAGATAGTGCATATCTTTTTAAACATCATTAAGAACAAAAACTGTCTTCATCCCACATTTATTAACACTCAGAAACTTTAATGGCTTATACATATTATTATTACTTATTATTTCATCATCCACATGTAATTAATGCAACAGAATTAGAATTACTGACTAAATCTTTTAAACTTTGAAGCTTATTTTCACTAAAAGGACTCCAATAAAAAAATTGAATAGCATTTTAAAACACTCATAATTTATTTCCTTTTGTTAATAAACAAAAATTACCCAGAAATCCATCTGTTCTCAATGCTCCAACAAAGGTATCTAACATATACAACATGCAGTCAGCTACAGCCTCATTTTCAATTGGTGCAATTAGTGGTATACGTCCTTTATCATCCTGAAAGACAAACTTAATCAAAAAATTTGTAAAACCACTGTGATGTAATACAAAGCCACTAAACTTTGAATAATAATTGTAACTTGGACCCAATTTTTAAAATCTTCCAGCCTTCCACAACATTAAGAGAATTTAAAATAAGATATATAATTTTTCTAGATTAATTTGTTCATTTTTATTGAAGAAAACACACACACACGCACAACATCGTCGAAAGGCGCATTTTTTTTCATTAAAGTAATTAATCTTATTTTAAAAGACATTAATGTTTATTAATTTTCAAATATGCAATAAAGAAGAAGTACATTCAACTAATACCATTAAGGATAAAGAGTAAGTTGATAATTCTAATATGTCCTCAACGAGAGTCGTCATTCCTGCTCTGCAAGCCAAATGTAGCATACTGAAATTAAAAATATTAGCTTGAATAAATACATGACCTATAAAGTTTCAAGTTTCCAAAATTTCTCTTCACTAACGTTTGTTTTCGATGATTTTGTGCGTTGATAATATGATCTGCTTGGTCACTCACTGGTATTGACTTCATTTGCCTTAGTAAATGATGCGCACTCATTTCATTACCAGCAATACAAGCATAATGAAAAACTGTATTGCCTTTCAGATCTCGAGCATCCAAATATGCACCTTGTTCAACCAGTAAACCTTCAATAGCTTTCCTACGTAATTATGCTTATAAGCATTAATTAGCTGGATAAATTTATTTAAGATAACTAAGCATACTCCTTAGCTAACACTATTTCTTATGCAGATCTTGCTATAAATAAATTTTTACCAACTATTTCTAATGCATTATTAGGATCTGGACAACTAGCAGCAGCCATCAATGGTGTTACACGATAATTATCAACAGTTGAAGGGTCTGCACCAGCTAAGAGCAGAGTAGATGATAGTCTACAATGACCATTTCGAGCTGCCAGATGTAATGCTGTACGACCATGAGTATCAAACGTTTTAATATAGTGTGGATTTAATCGCAAGATAAACTGGAAAATGTTTAGAAAAATAATTTATTAATAACTGCAATACTTTAGTATATAATAAAAGATCTACTCTGCAATATATTTGCAAAACTGGTCATATGACTTTTATTATTTTGATCAAATACTGAAGAATTTTAATTTCATATCCTAAACTTTTATAAACAAAGAAACCACCTCAGATTCCATAATGCGTCCACAAGATGCTGCCAACAAAAAGGCTAGACTTCTATTTTTGTTCTGGTCACGCTCCTGAATAATGTGAAGGATAGATTCGTTACCTGCAACAGCAGCCCAGTCAAAAGGAGTTAATCCAGATGAATCCGATGTTTCTGCTACACCATTTGCTATTAAATATTTGACAGTAGCTGAATCCCCTGCAAAATCAAAGAAATCCGAAAATGAAGTTCTGAAAAGAAAAATAGATTGACCAATTTTCAGTAGAAATTTCCTCACACTTCATAATGGGTCCATAAGATGTAAGCAATATAAGACCAGACTTAAACAGATTTATCATAATAAAGCAGAAATGCCAACCTGATCTGGCTGCAATATGAAAAGGAGTCACACCATTACAATCCATTGATTTGAAATCAGCTCCTTTCTGTATTAATTCCTTGCATAAAATTTCATTTCTTAAGCTACATGCTCTATGCATGAAACCACGTCCATTTTTATCAAATAATGTGACATCACTTTTTGGTAACAGCGCGAGAAAACAATCCAAAAAACCATTTGAAATAGAAAGCATTATTGGTGTCCTGGAAACTCACTCATGAACTAATTTTAGTGCAAGTAACAATGGGTTCTTGTAATAGATATTATATAAGAAAATTTAACATTGCAACTTATGAACATTGTGTTATTACAATATCTGTACAATAACGAGAGTTTACAACTCACAAATTTAGGTCAAGAAAAATGCAAACCTTAAGAGAGAATCTAGAACATTTATTTCTTCTTCTCTAAGTAGTTCGACAGCAAGAGTAATACAAACAATTCTTCCACATGCGGCAGCAGCATGTACTGCCGTCATACCAAAACAATCTTTTTTCAACAATGCTTGCTTTCGAATTGCAGTTCGTAAAAGTATATCTACACATTTCTCATGACCTATAATTTGAAAATTTATTTAATATTTCAAAACATTCAAATTATGACTGATATGATTCTACTCAATGAAGCATACAAAGCGCATGAAAATTCACCAAATTATATTTTTTTTAGAATACACTCATTTTAAAACAACTAGCGATGATATACTAAAAGTGCTTTAGTATTTAGTTCAGTAGTCAGTAAAGTGAAGATTCTCTGGCGTTTTTTTTTTTGATCCCCGTATCTAGTTCTCCTCATACAATTCTAAACACTATGCGAATACCATTAAAAAATTTTCTTGATTTAAAATGAAATCTTGATGTCTTTGAATCTAAAAAAAATTCTAGTACCAAAACAGAATTTTTAATAAATCACATGAAAGACTCATTCATAACTACGTAAGATACACCACTCTTATTCTATATAAATGTATTTATTAAAAGAAAATAATTTTACCGCGAGCCATAGCATAGTGAATAGGAAGTCGTTCAAGTGAATCCGTTTCAAGACCTATAGTAACACCAACTCTTGCTATTGGTTCTTCAGCCATCATCGAACGAGCATGAAAAAAAGCCAACAATTTTTGCAACAGATGAGGGTGATTATAATTTGCCGCTATGTGATACAAACTGAGGTGATAAGGATGACTTGATGATGGAACTGTCACATCGGTCACTACATCTGCTAACTGAAAAATGGTTTAAAAATAAAGATTATATAAATCTAAAGAAAAAATTTTAGGGACTAAATAAAACTTCACAATCATAAGCTTCCAGTGAAAAAATGCACGACAATATTTAGCTAATTATTGTAAAAAGATATTCCAACTTTGCACCAAGAAACAACATATCTTTGAGTGATCTCACGACTAAAAAAACTACTGGCACTCAAATTATGAAGAAAACACTGTAAAGTATCAAAAGAATTTTAAATGCACAGAGAAAAGAATCCTTTTAGAATAAGAACATCTCCGCCAAACAAATAAAATCCAGAAAACTTACAAGTAAAGTTGTATCTAAATTGCCCGCTTTTACAGCATAATGGACGGGAAGAAAACCTGATTTATCCCTGATTTGTGCCACTGTACAATCAGCTCGTAACAACACCTTAGTACTCTAAAACTACCCACAATTATTTTTCATTCTGGAATAAATTCCACATACAACAATTTCAAAAAATATTCTGTAGTTTCATTCTTGCGCATTTCACAAATGAATAACATTTGTGTACTGAAATGGATCAGCAAAATCAAAATTTGGAAAACTTTTTATCAAATCAGAAGTAGAAACGAACAACTAGAGCGAGATCTGCTGGGGACTGAACAGCATAGTGCAGTGGAGTGAATCCAAACATATCCTGCTGACATGCACGTGCACCTGCTCCCAATAATTTTTGAATAGCATTAAAGAATCCGCTTCGTGCAGCATAATGTAATGCTGAACAATTTCTATGATCAACTTTTGAAGGCGATATACTAGTCGTTAACAAATAGTCGATCATAAATTCACTAAAATGTATGACTAATAAATGGTCATCTGAATACTTTACGAGAAGTGAATCTGGAATAAGTGTGGTATGGTGAAATACGTGCCCCACTATAAATATGAAGATTTTTGTCTAGTTTCAACTAAAATGGATCAATTGTAAACTTATACTAAAGATACCTGTTAGTACTTGCAGATTGCGTAGCAACATGCAGAGCTGTTCGTCCAAAATTATCGACTGCTTCAATGTCTGCTCCGTTTAAATACAGTGTTCTTATCACAGATACGTGACCATGAAACGCAGCTAGATGTACTGCTGTAAGACCGGTTTTAGTTTTTCTGCAACAAATTGTGAAACCCTTTCTTGAATCATGAATTTCGATTTTTAAACCATTCAAGTATGTAAAGATAAACCAATGAAAAGATAGTTACCACGAGATAAAAACAAATATAGTTTCCATATTACTTAAATAGCCTAATCACTGAAAATCTAGGATAGCCTAATTACTGAAAATCTGACTTTTGATAGTGCATATTTTCTTAAAGACAACAGTAATATAATTAATAACGATAGTAGTAAGATACAAGTTGCAATCCGCTCCGGCAGCTAGAAGATGCTTGACAATAAGATCATGACCATGTCTGCATGCCATATGAAGAGGTGTAAGACCATGCTCGGTAAAAATATTCACTGGTACTCTTCTGGCTAATAATATTTTTGTACGAGCTATTCGACCATGTTCACAAGCAAAATGTAAAGCTGTACTACCATCTGCTGATTGATCAGCAAGGTTACGAGTAACATCGAGTAATAACTGAAAATTTATTTTTCAAAAAAAAAAAATCCATTTGTTTTGCTGAAATCACACAAAAAAACTAGTACTGAATGGCAAACCTTGAATTATTCTAAAAGCGTTTCAAAGGCCCATAAGATTTACTTTAGATCATATGACGCGCTTATAGTCTGGAACTAAACTTGATTGCTTCGTAAGATTGATAGTGACATTCACAACATAATTAGACAAAACAAACTTTTTTTGGGTCCTACAATTCCAGACTATAAGCAGATGATATCGAATAGTGCATAATTCGAACTAACTTTTTCAAAAAATTGAGTAACAAAGTCCAAAACTTACTTCACAGGGTACTGTACCTTCAGTGAAACCAGCAGCAATATGAAGAGGTATGTAATTACTGCCGTAGCTTGGCATAAAAGGATGAGCTCCTCTCTTGATCAAACTGAAAAACACTTACCTGTTATAAAGATCTAAAAATAAGATTAATAATGTTCCACTTCACAAAAATTTTTTTGAAGTTTTAAAAAATCTTTGAAAATTTTAAGTGATTAATTATAACAACCACAAAACTTCAAATTTTTTAAAGAAAACGCTAAATGCCTTTAAATTATAAATTAATTATCTATAAAATACAAAGAAATAAACTAACATTTCGGCATTTCGACTACACCCCCAAATGACAGCGTAGTGCAAAGGTGTAAAACCTTCGGAGCATTGACTATCTAAGGGTACTGACGTACTTTCTACTAGAAACCTTACAGAATTCATGTTGGTAGACAGTGATGCGTAGTGTAGTACAGTTCTCAAGCGATTATCACGTGATTGAAAATCAACACCATTTCTAAAAAGCACCCTGAGAATTTCGTCATAACCGCTATAAGCTGCCATATGTGCTGCAGTCATACCTTGTTTATTTCTGAAAAAAAGAACTTCGACTTAATACTTCGGAAAAAAGTGACGCTCCACAAAGGATAAGTTTTTCTCATTGGAAAAACTACTATCTAAAAACGCCTCATGATAGCAGTATACAAAGAACAAATCTATAAATTTTCAGACCCAACGTGATGCGCTAAAAAATATGAATACTTTGTGCTTTTTAAAAAATGTCTAAGCTAACGCTTATGAAATTTGATTTATGACACACTGTTTTTTAATATTAATAACGATTTATAAATCCATCTTAGGAAGATAATTTCGAATGTAATAACGCTTATTTTTCAAACAATCGCCACGATTACCTAATATTTGGATTTGCACCTCTTAGCAGTAGAAACTTGACGAACCCAATGCTTCCAAAGAATGCTGCATAGTGGAGCGGTGTAGAACCAGCCCAGTCAGATCGATCTGAATTTCAGTCATAATAAGCGGGAAAATATAAACAGAATTTCTAAAAAAAGCTTCAGGTTAGCTTTTGTTTTAAAGACCCATCTTCAATAAATAAATTAAAAAAAAAACAGCTTATGCCATGCTGGATAATGATGATTTGCTCAAGCACAGATTGTATCAACAAAAATCCAACACTGAAATTCATCAAGTTTCACTCATTCTATTCTACAAATTTTCCTTAATAATAAATACGAATTCTATTTAGAAAAAGAGACTTCAGTTGATATGGATTATGACTGGAACAATCAAATTTTGTTTATTTTACAAAGAATGAATACATGTCAAAATCAACAAATTTTTCGCCTTCAATAAACCAAAACGACTAAACATTTCATTGCACTTACCAATGATTGAATCACAGTGGTTAACTATCACTTCAGCGCAATTCAGTGAATTCGATTGTGCACAAATATGTAACGATGTCATAAACTGCTTTGTGGCAGTATTTACTTTCGCACCGCGACTAATTAACAATCTAACAGTTTCTGAACGGTCATGAATGCACGCTCTGAAAGATCCAATTTCTTTAATTGGACAAACCTCAATAGGAAATTAAAAAAACTAATTTTGTTATTATGTTCTAAATGCTCCAAACTTGGAGTAATATCTAGTTGTAATAAAACGACTCCTCCATTAAAACACCATCTTCGGGACGACTCCTTTATTGGAACAAAATTTTCAGGTGAATGAACACAAAATATAATTTATATAGAATGCATAGAAATTTATTCTGATTAACAGTAATGCATTTGTAACAGCTGAACATTTGCACTTTACTTTGACTAAGTAATATCCTGAAGTGTACACAGAGAAAAAGGAAAAACCTTTGAAGTGGAGTGAACCATTCTCGATCACGTAAATCAATTCTTGCATGTGCATTAATGAGCGCATTTACAATCGACGTAAATCCAAAAAAACTTGCTAAATGTAACACTGAAGTACCATTCTCATCCACATCATTAACATCAATACCTTTATCGATATATTTTTGAACTAACTTCAAGTCATTTAGTAAAACAGCCTTTTGTAAATCAGCCTGAAAATACAAGCCGTTCTGATTGAAAGCTTCCTCAATAACTAATATTCATCAGCTCTGCTCCAACTGCAGTTAAATCTATTGAAATTAAAAGGTAATAACATATTTCATTTCGGAAATCAGAAACGTTAGGTTTCAATGTCATATAAATCAATATTGTTTAAAAAATTGAGAGACAAAAAATTATAAAAAATATTTTAGTTTATTCAAGAATTCATACATAAACAGCACTTAAAAATAGTCCAAAACTAAGAATACTTCCTTAATTTCAAATGTATGAATATCACTGCAAACTTTTTTTAGTTTCAGAAATGAATAAAGATTAACATTTGAAAGCAGAGAGCAACTCCAAAATTTTTTCAAGAAATAATGAAGAGTACTAATTTTTGCGTATTCAGATACAAAGCGAAGATAACTATCACTTACATTCATTTCCCTGAATGCAGTTAATATGTGATAGCTGTACTTATCATATTACGAATGCGTACTGATATAAATCTGCTCAGAAACCTGAAACTGAGACATTTTCTAAATAAATAAAGACTATCAATGATCTAATACTGACGATATTCCAAAACAGAATGCACTGTTAACTGCTAGACGAAACCCAAAGTCATTTCGAGGATGACAACTAAAAATGATGGAAAATATACGAAAGTTTAGAGAGAGTTCCAATATTTATAAAATACTTGAAATTCCAAAAAAAACAGTCTGTTACTGACAATTTAAGTTTTGGTCATAGTGTAGACGAGCAAACATGTCTTGATAATAGACAAGATATCACAGTTACTGATTCTGATTTATTAAATGCATTCATGCCACCAATAATATAGACATTTAGTATCAAAATCATAAAAGGCTGAGTAAGTCAAAGATTTATCTGTCATCAGGGTATTTCAGAAATCATAGACATATCCGCTCAAATAAACTCGATTCATAATAAAGTGAAGCTTGAAATGAATGGCATGAGAAAAGCGACGAGAAAAATTCAGTCAACAACAGAGAGAACCAAAAAACACCGAAAATTTTTCTAAAAAACCGTAAGTGAATGAATAGATCGAAGAGTTTTTCGATCACTTTTATCACCACTGAGATACCAATAATAAAACTATTCTTTCTTATTAATGTTTACGTTTACATCTTTAAATTCATATATCACGTGACAACTTTATATGACAAACATTATTAGTTTGTTACTTCCAATTATTTCAGAGTATAATGAAAATATTTCAAATATCAAATTCCAGCACAAATTTAACTGAATAATTGTCAGTCTTCTGCTTCTAACTCAATACTGCTCCGGAGTGATTTACCCGGATAATTTATAAGCAATCAAGTTTTTTAAAAATTATACTTGAAATGCTCATTATCAGAAATGAGCTGAATTTCGATTCAAAAACAGGATCAAATAAAAAAATGATGCAATGTTTGCAAGTCGAAAACGAACATGCTCCCATATTTTATGAAATGAAATGAAAGCAAAAAAACAAAAATGTTCAAAATAGAAAACTCCTCCACGAGGATAAAAGCTAAGGATAAAGCTGAGCTTCTTTGTATGTCGAAGAATATAACTCTTAATCATGTCTTAAAATAGAGCACATAAGACTAAACCCATTTAGATCAATGCATAATAAAACATAATTTCTTGTGAACAAATTGTAGCTCACTGAAAGCTAAATATTTAAACCAAGGAAAGCAAATAAACCAATTATTTTCCCAAAAACGTAAATTTATTTCAAATGCTTCAACAACTTTCAGACTGCAGTTTCAAAAGCAATAACAGCAAACAAGAATTATCAATACTACGTTAATTTCTGAGATCAATAAGTACTGAAATTTGAATTTTTGGAGGCAAATTAACGAATAAAAACTTTGATCACACACTGTGCAAAAACCAAGAAACTAATATTAATGAACTCTTAGGTTTGCATATAACTCTGCGCAAATTTTGCATTTTATACAAATAGAAGTCACTGAAATTTTATAATAATTACCCATGGTAGCATTCACTCAGTCACTAACCAAGTAGAAAATGCTTACTACAAACATCTTCTAGGGAGAAAATACCACTACACCTCATTTTAACCATGCAATTCATTTCATATACGTAATGAACTGCGTGAAAACTAACATAAGACCGTGAGAATGGATGTAATGTAGAAATAATACGGTAATATTAGCACAATTAGTATTAAAGAGCATCCACTAATGCAGTAAATTATTGTAACTAAAAATTACTTCAGTACTACAATAATTGATTGTGCTGGCAAGAAAAAGAATGATCAAAATAATTTGGCGGCAATATTTATTTCATTAATATTGTCGAAGACGATACCTATACTTATAAGATATCTACTGATAGATAATGTTCCGCTATATCCGCACTTCAAAAAGTATAACTTTATCTCAGTCCTAGTAATTTAATATAAAATGTACGAGATTTTAATATTAATAACATAATGCTTGTTAGTGATGATAGCATAAGCCGCTGATGCTGAGCAGCCTCGAAACTGCCAGCGAACTTAAAGACCCAAACTCAGACAAACTTCTCCCTCTATGCCCATAGACACAGATGTGACCCCTTGCGATTTCCATGGGACTCGCACAGAGGCAACTCCCTGCTCCCTACACATGTTTACACTCTTGTATGAAGCACTCACTCTCAATCTCTGCTTACACTACTACCTGCATGTTTCCTTTACGCTGTTTCGCTAATGTAAAGCAAACTGTATCAAAAGTTTCCCCACTGTCTGTAATCCGTCTCCTCTAATCTTCTCTCTTCCACGTTTCTTACACTTCCTCTCTCACTCACAAGTTCCTTCAAAATATTCAGGTTTCTATGAAGACTCCTCGAAACAATCATCTTTCAACCTTCTCTTTACTTGAAGACATTTATAACTAACAAAATTATGTGCATGAGAAGTAATAATTCAGTCAGGGGTCATCTCATAATATCACTGCATTATGATGCCGTATTATCACAACAATTATAGTAGTGTTAATATAATAATAATAATAATAATAATAATAATTATTATTATTATTATTATTATTATTATCAACAGTATTAATAGTACAATTGAGCATTTGTTATACTTTGATGAATGCTCTTCTGTCAAGAATAATTGAATAGTTTTCTAAAATTTATATGACATAACTGTAGAAAAATGAACGTAAGTTGGGATACCAACTGATCAGCCTGGGATTGATAGTCAGGAATGACAACTAGTTATATTAAACTGGTTCTTCAGGAATGGTGAACTAAGAACAGATTAGCAACTAAGAACTGGACAAAGAACATTTACTCAGAATCGATGATCACAACTAGACAGCATAGAATCAGGTAAATGACCCTACTCTTCAGATGAGGCTAATTATGTCACTTAAATGAATAAACCACTGACCCAGAATTAATCACTACGATTGATTAGGAGGAATCGATAATCAACTCCAATTATCTCAGACCTACAAGAATTTTACTACAGATTGGTAATTAAAAATTATTAATTTAGAAGTGACCGATTCAAATGTCTTATATTACCGGTTTTAAGTAGCCGAAAAATGGTTTTATCAGAATTATCAGTAACAAGGGATCATTCAAATAAAGATGAAAGATAATTTAGTTCTTTAGGGCATCAAATATGACAAATTTAGTATGCAGAAATAAAAGATATTAATTTTAGGTCATGTTGTACTGTTTGAAGAATAAAGATTTTCAGGAATAATTGAAATAGCACGATTCAAAACAATCTTACTCGTGCTAACATGTTTTATCAATCACGATAAAGTTATCGTAATTCGTTATAATAAGAAAAATGGCATAGAAATTATAATTTTTTGCTTTCACGCTTTTTTCTACAATGATTCGCAGTAATGGAGATAAAAGTTTTGATGGAAAAGTTGATTAGTACTTGATCAGTTTTTGCAAACCTTCAAGCAAATAAGTCGTATAAAAGTGTTGAGCAAATATTTTGGAAGACAAGATTGAAAGAAGTTTCAAACGCTGGTTATTTTATCTTGATTAAAGAGAACCTATGACATGGTATTGGTAATGGATCTAATAGACTGAAAAATTCAACTTCATAGGAAATAGCGATAATTTAGAAAATTATCAAAAATTCTTTCATAAGTCAACAATTAAATTCTTGCACTAATATACCTGACTCACAACATGTCAGGACCTGAAATGTCCCTCTCATGTACTGCTTTGAATTCTGCTCATTGCACCATCGTAATTTAAACTTTATGTCATTGTGATTTATTTCTACTGAAGAGTATAGTTAGAAAATGATGATGACCTGAATGGTTTAAGGAGTTATCAGGAGAGTGTACTCATTCTGTTTAGAGTGAATATTCAGAATGTTGATGTTGTTTAATTTGTTTATGATGACTGCTTCTAGATGAATATTTCACTATTATGCAGTTACTACGCGTGAAATAGTGCTAGTTTGTGTTTAGTTAATTTTACATCATTAAAAGATGTAGCTATCATACTGCAGTAGTCAACTGCATATTTACAGTACTAGTGCGGGATCAGTTAAGTAGTTAATAATTATGCAAATTTGCCGCAAAACTTTTTCTTCAGTAATTTTAAGCATAGAGCACCGCTTCCTGGAAATTACACTGAAAACTTTTAAAATAAAAAATTGACAAAAAATAGATTTTACAATTAACACTGTAAAATTGATAGTTTGCTGAAGTTTAGGTTTAGATCTGTCGAGGGGTTAGAATTTATACACTCTGATATGTTTTAGTGTAAAATCGTTGTGTGTGTGTAATCTGTCGAAACTTTTGCTTACTTTCGGTATTGAGTATGACAGTCTAATCTGTGCTCATTTTTGTATTATGGCTAAGTATACTTTTCATTGAGACATCATCTGCTTTTGTAATGTAATGTCTACGTCTTTTAAACAAAGAATTATTTAAGAATTAAAATTAAATAACACATATGCTATTTTTTATTTTTATTTTCTATTTAATAATGATTTACACTTCGATCGTATTTTTTAATAAGATGAAGCATACATATTATTGATAGCTGATAGTATTATTATAACTTACGTATTTTATATATGCTTTTAAGTAATAAACTTATTGATGCCTTAGTTTGAGATTACAGATTTTAGTACTTTTGTGGATGGGATATATAGTTTTCGTTTTTGGACCAGATAATTTTGGTGTTATTTTTATTCGTACATTTGAGCACATATAGCTTGTACACTATCAGTAATGTCTTTACTGTACTAGAAAATGCTTGCAACGAAATGGAGCATATGATAATTATTTTTGGGTAAACAGTTTGGTATATTTTTAAGTTGAATGTTTTAAGACTTATTTGATGGCGAAGGGTTATTCAAAAATGAGCATGTTTTATAAATTTAAAAAAAAATTGTTTTTTAATTACTGTGTTTATGTAGTAGTTGATTATCTTTCCTCATTTAAATGATCATCTGAATTGGACTTTATTCAAAGTCTGATTTAATTGTTTTTTTCGGGGCCTATCATCGATAGCTTAGGTCGTTCATTGCATGCAGCTGAATGCTCTTGAAAATTTTAGTAACAAATTCCTCAAAAGCATAGATTGTAAGGATTTCGGGACATGATCATTTATTCTTGAACACTGAAATTTTAGCCATGTACTTGCTCGGAATTTTATTCGCAGCTACTGTAGCTTAGAGTCAAAATTATATTAATTCTTGAGTAACCGTTAGTTCAGATCACAAATTTAAATGACCAAACGAAACTATTTCTTATTCATAGTTATATATGTTTGATAACTAACCATTCTAGGTTATATATACTTCAGTTTTTCACATATGAGTCGATCTACGCCATCTAGAAGTTCATCAGGAAACAGTGTTGTCAGTGGTAGCTCTACTGGTACAGCTAGCAATAAAATGCGAATTCGCGCTTTTCCGGTACGTAATATTTAAATTTAAAAAAAATTTTTTATTTATATCTTTACAATACATTTGTCAGGTTGATTGAATAAATAAATTTCAGTTAGTAATTACATCTGTCCAGTTTCAGTATATTTTTTTTTGAGACTGAAAAAGTTAAAGTTTTTAGCTTCACATTTTATACATTCTGAAAGACAAGGTATTGTTAATGTATGTTGGTAAAATCAGAGTATACTTTACATAGTGAGGCAAGAAATTAAAATTGCTAGAAGTTTTTCCATGTGATGACGTAAAGCAACAAGTTTTTGAGCATGCTTGTGCAGTTTTTTAAAATACTTTATCTGAGGCAGTTTAGAGAAGTCTCAAGTGAGCTCTAAGTTATTATGTTCCCCAAAATATTTCAGTTTTTTCGTCAGGTAGTAATCGGAAAGTTAGAATTTTGTTATTATTTCATTTAAATGAGTTTTTTAGTGATGAGATGTATCGTTATGTACAGCTTATTTTAGGAATTTTCTAGAAATGTTCTCAAAATGTAGGGGTATACAACTAACGGCAGATCATTAAGTTTTTGATTTGGCCTAAAATTAATTACCGATATATTTTTGTCGTTGCAGTTGTATTAGTCACTTTGCTTTGCTATGAATTAGTTTATCAAAAAACTTTACTTAATATGATGGATAATTATCTATAATATCATTGTATTAGTACTGTTAATTTTCTGTGCGGTTGTTTACTCACTGTTCATTTGAATACAATTTCACCTTTTTACAATGTGCACACGATTGAGAGCAATTAAAGAACTTTTCCGGGAATTAGTCGTCCAAGATGCCCGTAGTTCATCATATCCTAGGCAACAGTTACCGGTTAGATTCGTAATTGCAATTTTAAAAAGTTTCTAAAATTTAAAGACGAAGCACTACCATATTTTTTAATCAACTATCAAGGTTTACATTTAAAAAAGCTGTAAATAGAATCAGTTTTTTCTAACTTGAGAATTAGAAGTCTTAAAAGTCAATTACTAAGCTTTAAACTGAATCAAATTGGTGCCAGTTTGTGTTCAATTTACGCAAATGTAATACTTCGGAGTATTTTTTTCGAGAAAAATTGCTAAACAGTCACCAAATAAGATATGAGATCTGTTAATAATCTATCTTTTTCTATCTGTGATCAAAAGTTGATCCTACTTTTTTTATAAAAATCTTGAGAGATGAAAGTTTTTCTTTTTCTACACTATTTCAAATTATCTTTTATCTGTCTCACTGAATTTGCTTTGTAGTACACGAAGCTTTTCAGAGTGTTTTGATTTCTCATAACTTTTAGTTTCCTTCTGCAAAGCGGAAGATAATTTCTCCTTTTGCCTAGAATTTGGTAATGCATTCGATAAAGACAGCGAAAAAAAATCTTTCAATTTCTTAAATAGAGTTCAAACATTGTTGTTTAAGCCAAATATATAATCGATGTGTAAAGACGATGAGAACTATTTGCAGACCACGATGGATGAGAAATATGTGCAACAGACATGGGAATTACTGAAGCGAGCTATTCAAGAAATACAGCGAAAAAACAATTCAGGTCTCAGTTTTGAGGAGCTTTATCGGAATGCTTATACAATGGTGTTACACAAGCACGGTGAAAAGCTTTATATGGGTCTCAAACAAGTGGTCATCGAACATCTGCAAACAACGGTGGTTTCTTCTCAATTTTGACTTTTATCATTTTAAAAAATAAAAATTTTAAATATGCTCCTATTTAGTGGAATTTCAAGTTTTTAAAATTGTTGATGAAGGTGCATTTCACTAAATGACGTGTTCTTAATTATACGCATGAAGTTTAATAATTTTTCCAGCTACACATATTTTTGTATTCTCTTATTTGTTTAGGTGAGAAATGAGGTGCTATCTGCAATTAATGGTAGTTTTCTGGAAGTCTTGAATACGGCGTGGCAAGATCACATCGTAGCAATGGTCATGATTCGAGATATTTTAATGTTAGTTTATTTTCATATTTGTCAGAGTTATTTTCCTTACTCAGTAGACGTAAAACATTACTTTAAAATTTTAACATCAATAGAATTCGTTTATTCGTCTAGTTTCCATGATTTTGGTAGATTTTAGTTGGTAAACTACTGTTATCTATCTTATTGCTTCAGGTATATGGACCGTGTTTATGTGCAACAACAAAACGTTGATCCTGTGTATAATTTAGGTCTTATTTTATATCGTGACGAAATAATTCGGTATGGTACACTAGGTGACACTTTGCGAAACATATTACTGAAAATGATTGCTGCAGAACGGAGTGGAGAAATCATTAATCGGTATTTTTTAAACAGTTAATTTTCTTAACATTTGTTGAATTCATGAACTGTCAAAATATCTCCAAAAATTCTGTGTCTCAGGATGAGATGGAACGTAAAATTAATCTTGCTCAAGTTATCACAATCTTGCAGAATTTCGGCGTTGTTTATGCAGAAATTTTTTCCTTCCATGAGTTGATACCCTCCATTATCTGTGGTTCATATGCATGAATTATCATGGTTATTATTATTACTGTTATCCTTATCGTTATCATTATTACTATCGTTGCTATTGTTATTATTGTTTCATCTAGGACTGATAATTATTCTGTTTTGATGTAGGATTGGTGTAAAGAATGCGTGCAATATGCTGGTAGCGTTGGGTGTGGACTCAAGACATGTCTATGAAGAAGAATTCGAAAAACCATTTTTACATGTATCAGCAGAATATTACCGAGCGGAAAGTCAAAATTTTTTGCTTGAAAATAGCGCATCAGTTTATGTCAAAAAAGTGGAGGAATGTCTTATGGAAGAGTCAAATCGTGCGAAAATGTATCTTGACAAGGGAACAGAGCAAAAAATATTAGAAGTACGTTCTTACATTCATGTGTAAATTCGCATAATTGGTTGATAACTAGGTTAGAAAATTTTTCCAAAATTACGACAGAAAATTGCTCTGGTAATGATGATGATGTATTTGTTTTCGTTTTTGCCATGATGTATTTTTCTTAGTTTCGCAATGTTTAGACGTTGAACTATACAGGTATTGGATGAAGAATTAATTAACAGACATATGATGACGATTGTTGAAATGGATAATAGCGGAGTTGTGCACATGCTCAACAATGATCGTATACATGGTAAGGAAAAACGCTACTAAATTGTTAATTCATATTATTTTTCCATAAATTATTTGCGAATATACTTTTGGTGCTGATATTTCTGCAAACAGATTACTTCAGATTTGCGTCGGTTGTACATTTTATTAAAACGAGTCAAAAAAGGTTTACCAACGATGACTGAATGCATAAGTAAATATCTTCGAAGAAAGGGAGAAATTCTAGTGAGTGAAAGTGTGGAAGGGGAAGCTAACGCGCCGAGAAATCCAGTTGTTTATGTTCAAGTTCGTTTCTTTTTTTCCTTTATTTTCTGTGTTTTCATTATGTATTTTATGTTATCTGCTTTCTTTATGTGTTTGTACTCTCTATTTTTTTGTTTACACTTTTTAGGGCAACTGGAGCAGTATCTGTTGTTGTTTCTATCATTAATTTAAAAAAGCAAAATTTTTTTAGGCATTGCTTGATCTCAAAGATCAGTTCGATCATTTCTTGTTAGATGCTTTCGATAACGACAAAACATTTAAACAGAAAATACAAAGCGACTTTGAATATTTTCTTAATTTGAACCCTAAAAGTCCTGAGTATTTATCGTTGTATATGGATGATAAATTAAAAAAAGGAATGAAATTGGTTTGTTCATCGCTTTTTTATTTTATTTTATTGATCCATAGTTATGTTCAGTCTTTAGTTACGAAAGTCATAAAAAATTCCCACTCATTTTATGGGTCTTAAATTTTTTGAATTGGAGAGAAGCACCTACATATGCATAAAAAATAGTGTTACCTTAGATACCGAATTCATTTGTGTTTACTATGCTAAATTTAGATGAATGAAAGCGAGCAGGAATTATTACAGGACAAGTCAATGGTCCTCTTCCGCTTTTTACAAGAAAAAGATGTTTTTGAAAGGTTTAAAATTTCATTAAAATTAGTCGATTATTATTCGAAGAATCATAAATATGAATTGGTCTTTTAATTACTATCACATTAGCAAAGTGATTTTTGAAGGTATTACAAATCGCATTTGGCGAAGCGCTTACTTCTGCAAAAAAGTATGTCAGATGACGCAGAAAAAGCTATGGTTTCAAAGTTAAAGGTAGTATATTTTTTTGGAGAGCTTTAACTGGCCTTTATCTTTATCGTGAATCAAGATGTTCATAATTAAGAGTTACACATTGATGACTTACCTATTTAGGGATTAGATTGTTGTAATTATTGTGTATTTTTTTTGCACTTGTTTATATTGTTTCTTCCTGTGATTAATTTTTCCTTTTATTTAATTCATAGACCGAGTGTGGTTGTCAGTTTACTTCAAAATTGGAAGGAATGTTCAAAGATATTGAATTATCTAATATATTGATGGCAGATTTTCGCGATTACAAAGAGCGGATAGAAAATGTAAGCCTTTTGTCGATAGAACGTATGCATAACTTTCACAGGTATGGAAAGTATGAACTATTAGTGCTTACTGTTTATTGATATCTTTGTAAAATTTTCAGTGTTTTTAATGCATTCATATATATTGCTTACGAGAGAATAATAGAGAGTAATTCGCATTTTGTGATTTTCATGTAAATGTTTCACACGTGTTGATGGATTTTTCAGAACTCTTATTCATTATAGTAGTCTACAAAATCTGATTTATCTATTATTCAGCAGGCGAACGATTCAGTAGATATAACAGTACGTGTGTTAACAAGTGGTTATTGGCCGACTCAAGCTGCTCCTGACTGTCTGCTTCCATCAGTCGCAGCCCAAGCATTTGAAAGCTTTAGGGCATTTTATCTCAGTAAACATAATGGTCGCAAAATAACGCTTAATCCTATGCTTGGTCATGCTGATGTAAAGGCTGTTTTCTATGGTACAAGTGCAAATATAGAAGAATTAAGCCAGCAGGTTATGAGTTTTTAAATTAATTGTTTGGTTAAGAGAGTAATCTGGAAGGTCATATAAGTTATTTTCTTATCAAGATGATAAAACCTATAAAATTTTATGTTTAGAAGCATTTCTGAGGTCGAAATCAGTCATGGAATTTTTTTGATTTTCAGAAAACTTAAAGCTTTTAATATACTACACATTTATGTTAACTTAGAATTATTCCAGGAATCAGATCTCGCTGGACCCTCAGTTGCTTCTCGAAGTAAAGAGGAACATAAGATTTTGACCGTGAGCACTTATCAAATGTGTATTTTACTGAGGTTTAACAATAAAGCTAAAATAACTTTCGAGGTAAGCGTGTTAACTATATTTGTCAGTTTGGATTTCAAACTTTAATAAGCAGTTGTATGCATTTCATGAATATTAGAAACTTTGAGTAAAAGTATAAACTTATCAGATCTATATTGTAGTTGATTTTCCCTGAGTCTTAATTTTCAAAGCACTTCTAGCGTTCATTCTTGAAATGATATGCACTTTTTTGTAGGAGTTAGCAGCAGAAACTCAAATTCCTGATAAAGAATTAAAACGATCATTGCTTTCATTAGCCATGGGGAAGCCAACTCAAAGAATTCTTTGCCGAAAAGGACATGGGAGAGAAATTGGTTCAAATTTTATTAATTTTTTTTTAGTATTGTCCTTTGCTCAATTATAGAAATTAATTTTGTGGCGAATAAAATAGTAATTTATGAAGGAGAAAGCAACTAATGGCATTTGACCTCTACTCATAAGAGTTGGAAGTTGTGATGTGTAAGAAACGCAACGTTTTCTTTTCATAAATATGAATCATCAACTATTTTATTTTGTTACAAAAAAAATTTTTTCCATTAATAGCTTATTGCAATTTTAGAAAATACTGATGAATTCTGGGTAAACGATGCATTTACCTCAAAGCTAACAAGAATCAAGATTCAAATGGTGTCAGGCCGAGCTGAAGCGGAACCAGAAAGGAAAGAAACTCGCTCGAAAGTTAGTTATTTCTACTCTTTTCATAATTGTCGAAGTTACTCAAATCGCCTTGTAACTTAGTCGCTTTGGACTTTGTACTTGTAAGTGTTGATAATTTAGTCTAGTAAAAAGAAAGAGATTTTATAAAAGATTGAATCGTGACCAAAAATGAATCTATCTCAGTTATAATTTTTTGTAGATTGATGAAGATAGAAAACATGAAGTTGAGGCTGCCATTGTACGAGTAATGAAAGCAAGAAAAAAGTTATTACATAATGTTTTGGTCGCAGAGGTTAATTTTTTTTTTGTTATATTCCATGTGAGCATTAGTATCATGAGTATCAAAAACTTCTCGATATTAATGATTCTTGTGAATATCAGAAATGAAGTTCGTAATGAGAAATAACTTCTTTAATATTTTATTCTAACTATGCACTTAATTTATTAAGTATTCTTTTCTGTTATTATTGAAAATTCCAGGTGACACAACAGTTAAAACACCGATTTATGCCAAATCCTCAACTGATTAAAAAGCGAATTGAATCATTGATTGAGCGAGACTATTTAGCTCGCGATAACAATGACCATCGTTGCTATGAGTATGTTGCTTGATTCAAATCAAGTAGTTTTCTCGTTTTCTTTTGCAGTGCAAGTGATTTCATTCAGCTCATTGAATAGACATTACCGTATGAAATCTAATTGATTCTCTAGATATGTTCTTGGATATTTATGTAAGACTTTCGTGCAAAAATATTTTCTTGTTAGGTTTATTGTGAAGGTTAATTTATATGTAGTTGATTACTGAGTTGAAATAAAACTGATGAATAGAAAAGAATATATATGTATAGAAGTCATATACTATTCTTGTGTCGCTTTGTAATTGATAACTTGATTTTTATCATATGAAGTAAAGTACTTCGCACCTAAAGAAAAGAGGGGCACTTAAAAATTTTTCATTTTGTCTTTAATTGTTTTTCAATATAATTTTTATGTCAATGGCTCATACGTGTGTAAGCCTTTTTTTCATATATCGGTTATTTCTCAAAAAAATGGCATTTTTGAAAGCCAAATTTCGTCTTATTCGAATTTGATTTTTATTGTTTACTTCATCTGCACTGCGACATGATATTTGTTACAATTTTTCCGCAATATGATCCTGTTTATCTTTTTGAAAGCAAATACAGTTTATATGCAATAGACATCATGATTCTGGTTTGTCTTCATTATTTCTCTTCCCAAATCATAGATATGAATGACTTCGTCATTTTTCATATTTTTTTACTTTGTATAAATAAAGCGTGTATATTCAATAGTGGTTTTATATTTTAAAAAGGACAGTGACATAAATGTTAGTTTGATGAATTCAGTTATTTCTTTTTTTGATGAAATGATGCAAATAGTCTCGTTCTTTCCTTCATTCAGTAACAGGTTTTTTAATGTAAAAATTTACATTTTAATATGTAGCTGTGAAGTTACGCTAACGTTGCAACTTATTTTTATATGTACTTTTTTAATTATATAGTTTGCAATGTGTAAGAATGCTTTGTTTGGATGAAGGATTGTTTTTACTGTGATTATTTCAATATGACATTTTACTTCTGTCGTGAATTCATCTATTTATTTATCCATTCAGCCATCAACGTACTATGTTCACTATCCATTATGCAGTGGTCGTTTTGATGATTTGAATATCAAACTCGAGTGATTGAATAAACGAAATTTTACTTTATCTACTGTATCAGGATGAGTTGAGGTATAGTACTTGGTCTGTTTTAAATTTAACAAGTGATAATTGAAGAAACGTCTCTATTTATTATAAAATGCAGCCGATGAGCTTAGAATTATTTACTAGTAGGAATTCATAGTCTGTCTAGCAAGGAATGGAACTAAGTATAAACATAGCAGTGAAGGTTCTTGAAAATTTATTTAACACTGAAGACCGTTCAGTATTCGAAGACTGGTTTGCATTGAAGATGCAGTTTCCCCAAAGACGTTCATGAATATTGCGTGTAATTAAGTTAATGTGAAAATTTCCTACAAATTTTAATTGGAACACCAAATTTTGGTCCTCATTACGCAATTAAATTTTTGCTCTATATTTGTCAT